ACAGATTTCAATCCTGTGGAACCATGACTTTCTTGCTCAGAGTCACAGGGTCAGTGTCAAGAGATGGGACAGGAACTGGGTCTTTTAGATGTCGAGTCTGATGATGTAGCTCCTTTCACTTTTATCACACCCACTATTGAAGCAGATGGCTCTCTCCAGTAGATCCCTAGTGCAAAAGCTCTTCATGGGATCAGAATTTGAGAAGCTCATTACCTTGGGGACATATTTGGATGAAACACCCATTCCTGGGAGAGATTTCAGCTGGCACGAGGAAGTCATTGCTAGGAAGCCTTGCTGGCCGCACTGCAACACTGTGGGGTGGGAGTGCTGGGCTGGGTTTTTATGTGACCCTCTTTTGGAGAAACTTGTGCCAATAGATTGGAGCCCTTACTTTGTTAGATCAGCCTCATGTATTCTCTTTCTTTTTGGAATGATAGAGGATTCAGGAGTGGTGATGAACATGAAGGGAAGTGGTTGGTGAGATGTGGGGGTGGGACGTGGGGGTTGTTTGAGCTTTATTATTCATTATTTATTATTTATTATTCATAGCTAGGTCAGGGTTTAACTCTTTGGAGAAGCTGAACAGTGTGTTCACTTGAGCATTGTCTTGGACAATTCATTTCAGCAAATTCAATAATTACCTATTGAGAATGGTGAAGTGAAAAAGTACCCCAGACTTAGGCTCTGGTCTTGGCCCTGATATTTCACCACCTGTTTGATCTTGTGTGAAGTAACTTCAATTACCCGAAACTTGGTTTCCACACCTGTGAAATGGGGATAGCAGTCCTTGTACTACCTGCTTCTCAGGGTTATGGTGAGGGAAAGGGCCTTCTAAGTCCTAGAGGACTGTAGAAACGTAGGCCGCTGTCATTGCTTACTCCTCTATCTTACGCTGTGGGAAAACTATGAGGTGTGGTCCTTGTCCCCAGAGAGCTAACCATCTTGCTGGGGAGACAAGACTGAGGCATGTAGGAAACAGTTATATACCAGAGGGTGTGGATAATTTAGATCTGTGAATGAAAGCTTTGAATGCCAGGCCAAAGAGTTTGAATTTCTCCCTGTAGGCACTGGAGGGGATGGAGAGTCTACGTAGAGGATAGCCAGGGCACATTGCTTTCTAAAGCAATGAGCACTGTATCTCTCCCTCTCACTTCTTCTTCCCTCTAGAAATTCAAGACGGACTGCAAGAGAATTTAGGGAATATTTAGGGGAAACAATTCCTAATCTGGCTAATCAGGGAAGGCTTCCTGAAAGAGGTAGAATCGGAAGCAAGTTTGAAAAGAGAGACAGGAAGTAGCATGGACAGGAAGCAGAAGGCAGTCATCAAGCCTTCCACCTCTTGGCCTGGTGAATAATTCCTAAAGACCAAAACATATGTTAAGCTCTTTCATGAAGTCTTCCCTGGTGTTATACATGTCCACCTTCACCCACCCCCGGGACTAATAACTACCTTCCGCCTGGAGTCTCATGTAGTACTTTCTTTTGCACCTCTCAGTTTATCTTTGTTGGTGTCTTACTCTATTAAGGTCCGAGGCAGAGACTTCTGTCTAAAACTTTGTATCTCTCCCAGCGCTAAGAACAGGGCTCTGCCCGCAGTAGATACTCTGTACATGTTTGTTGGTTAGCTGTATACAGTAATAGACCATAATTTTGAAAGTTTCCATTGTAAAAATTCTCAACAAATCCAAAAAGTCCTGGAAAAATATCCATACCCCATCATGGGCACTGATTGTGGCTTTATTCTGGCACTACTGAAATAAAGTTCACAACAACAACAGTAATGATGACTCATTTTTCCATAGTGCCCCAAGATTTACACAGTACTTAATTCTCTATGGCTCTTTGAGGGGCTGTTAGCAGTATCCCAATTTTACCATTAAGGAAACAGGTTCAGAATTGTGAGGCCATCGGCCATTTGGTCATTTTGTAAGTGTTGGTGCTGGGTTTGGGAACTTGTGATCCCAAGTTCAGCTCTTTTTCTCCCCCAGTATGCTGTCTTTGGATTCACTTCTGTTGCATTCACAAGTACCAGGTTTGGGGGGGGGGGTGGCCCACTTTCGTGTGGTCACCAAAGGGATACTTTTGGAATATGACTTTACTTTCAATAGAACACAAGCTACTTGAGGGCAGTGATTGTTTCATTTTTTGTTTGTGTCTGTATCCACAGCAACTTCTATTCAGTGGGTGCTTAACAAACACATTTGTTGAGCTAGTTTGAATTAGAAGATCATTTACACTGCCCTTGTTGGGGGGCATTCCTAGAAGGAAACTAGCTAATCTTTATGGTCTGCTCCAGATCCAAATTCTCAGCATTTTAGAGCTAACTTGCACTAGACATAATGCCATGCACGTAGTAGGCACTTAATAAATGTTGGTTTATATGATTGAGATGTGAGGTTCTGAACTGTGGCCTCTGCTGGTGGAAGCATTGGCTGTTTTCAGAAACATCTTTGTAAAAAGTCTTCCTTGGGTGAACAAAATTTCCCTTAGCCCAAGATGGAAGGGTTGGAAGCTATCAGAGATATATATTATTGAGTAGTACCAGGAAAAGCCAGCCAGCCTCATGTGTTCTTTTTCTTTTTGGAATGATAGAGGATCCAGGGGTGGTTATGAACATGAAGGGAAGTGGTTGGTGAGATGTGGGGGTGGGACGTGGGGGGTTGTTTGAGCTTTATTATTCATTATTTATTATTTATTATTCATAGCTAGGTCAGGGTTTAACTCTTTGGAGAAGCTGAACAGTGTGTTCACCTGAGGGCCAAAGGAATGAAGTAAGAGTGTTTGATCGTGAATAGAGTCTGAAGGAGCGTAATAATTTCAGAGAACATTTTCATGAAGGGTAGCATGTTCCCTTACTGGGAAGAGTTGTTCTTTGAGGAGAGTCTGAGTCTGTGTGGTTGGGAGGACATATTCTCTAGAAAGATTAGCTCTTAGGAGATGTGTGTGTGTGTATGTATTTAAGGGACCCTTGTACCTTCCTAGTAATTTAGCACACAATAGTGGAAAGGGAATCCAAAGACCTGAGTTTGATTCCTGACTGTGTAAGTTGGAATCATAGGATTTAGGTTTGGACAGGACCTAGGAAAACATTGGGTTTAGCCCATATATTTGATGGAAAAAGAAACTGAGGTCCAGAGAGGGAAAGGACTTAATCCTAGGTCACACAGGTAATCAGTAGGAGAGCTGATATTTGAACCCAGGTAATTTGAGTCCAAATCTAGTGTGTTTTTTCTCCTACTTTACTACTTATGGACAAGTCATTAAATTTCTCAACCTCAGTTTTTCCATCTGTAAAATGAGGGGGTTAGACGAGACCATCTCTGAGTTCCCTACTAAACCTAAATCCAATGTAAGGCAGAGAGTTGAGCGAAGAATACAATTCCCTCTAAAGGCTGGACTGTCAAGGGGGAGAGATTGAGAAGCAAAATCTGTAATTCTTCTCATTCCTCCTCACTGACATCTCCCTCCAACACGGCAGATAGATACCTGCCATTCAGAAGGGGACCGAAGAAAGTTCAAATCAGTTTTTTAAGATGTTTAGTCATTATTTAAAAAAAAATAAAAAGGCTGACTGATTCAGCCCATGTGTAAGATGAGGCTCTCAGTGGGAGTAAGGTTGATATTGATCCTATTTTTTCCACCAGTGAAGGGAAATGTAACCAGGCTCTGAGTATGAAGGAACCCAAGAAATGTTGAGGTTTCCCTTGTCCAACCGGCATTCTATTGCTGGCTTTGAAACACCCTGCTTTATTTTCCCTAGAATATGGCCTGGAGGGAAAAGGCTTCTTCCAGGGGTGGGAGGTTGGGGTCCAGTGGCTTTCTTCCCAGGGTTTTCCAGACAACAGGAGAATTGGGACAGGGACCATGTGCACAGCCTTAAGTGATTATGGAGGTAGAGAGCTCTGAATCTGGAAAGACCTGGGGATTTTTTGAGAACCAGTTCCTGCTAATTTAGTGTTATCTGTGTGGCTTTGGGTAAGGCATTCAGCCTTTCTGGGCCTCTGAACCTGTATCTATAAAATGAGGTTAGATGGAATATTATCTCTTAGGGCCTCTTCCAGTCCCAAATCCCATGTTCTTCAATCTTGTGCTTGTTTGTAGTGGGTAGCAGCTCAGTGGATGGGACTTGGTCCCCAGAAAGAGGCCACAACATTTGATCTTCTCCAGAAGGCTGCCTGTTACTATGTCCTTTCTGAAAGGACAGATCCAGGAGGCTCCCCTCACCTCCCTGGCCCCTTTTCAGACCCTCTGTTTTTGTTCAGCTATGAGCCACCCACCCCCTTCCTTTCTTTAAAATTCTGTGGCTGACCTCTTTGGCTCTGGAAGCTATCCAAGTGCCGTATCTCAGAAACCCAGGAAAGGTTAGGAAGGAGGAAGAGAGAAATGTCTTTTTGGCTGGGGGAGTGGGAGAAAGGAATTCCATCTATGCTGCATGGGAGTTGGTGGTGTGTCGCCAAGCGTGGTTTGCAGTGGCTCTCCACACAGCCACTGGCAGCCCGAGGGACCCAGGCAACCTCAGGGCTCCCAACCCTGCTGGAGCTCCCTGCATCCTGTTTCCTTAGCCCAAAGCCCTAGCTAAGCCTTCTTCCCGAGGCTGGGTGGGGAGGCAGGGTGGTGCTTGTTTACTGGGCTTGCTTCAATCTTGGTGTTGACTCCAGGCTCTGAAGGGTAAGAGCCAGAGAGTCCTGCCATCCGCCCCTCCAGGATGTGAATCCTTGTAATTGTCCTCAATTACAGGCAGGGCTGTTCCTCAGCTCTGTCTTCAAACAGGAAACAGAACACCGGTCACTTCTTTGGGGGAAATGTTATCCAGCATGGCTCCTGCCACCAGATGATTTGGAAGTTGATGGTGGCTTGTGTGTGCGGTGCCTGCCCCCTACAATATCTGTGGAATCAAGATCGGCACAGGAGACTGTCTTGGGGTGAGGATGGTATATTAGGAGTAATTTCAGTCTTCCCTCTGTAACACTCTTTGTTTTTTTGATTATTATTACCCCCAGGATGAGACTTCCGTGAGCAGTGAGGATTTTGATATGAATGACTCCACATGGATGTCAGCTGATCAACATCTAAGCTCCAGCTTGAGCCCCAGCCAGGACGAGAGGATGCGGAGCCCACAGAACCTCCCTAGCCAGGAGGACGGTGAGTGCCTGTTTCCCTCGCCAGGGGCCCCTCGGGTGGAGGTGTGGGGGCAGGAGGAGAGTCTGGACTCAGCAGTTGACATTAAGATTTGAGATTATAAAGTCTGCTCTCTGTTAGATGGGCTTGTCTGTGTCTGCCATGCAATTTCTAGCCCAGCCTGCCATGTGGAAAGATTTCTTCAAGGCTATGTAATGGGGGTAGGGCAGCATCTGAATCCATAGGTCACAGCAGGCAAGCTACCCATAGACTTGCCTGAGAAGCACCTTGGTAGGATAGGAAGAGAACTGGTCTGGGACCAAGGGGTCCTGGGGGCTAGTCCTGACTCTGCTATTACCTAGCTGTGTGACCTTGGTCAAATTGCTCTTCTTCTCCCCTGACATTGGTTCCTTCCTCTGTAAAATAAGGGAATATGGTTCATCTCAGCTTTTATGCTTTATTCAATTATCTTCTCTTGTCCAATTTGGCTGTGATGTCTTTGAGCTACTACACCAGGGAAAACAAGCTGGTGGCTTTTTCCAAAATAGAAGGTTGTTTTGTTTTGGGTTTTTTGGTGTTCTCTTTTTCTTGGTCCTTATAATGTCTGGTAGATTGGCGCTTTGAATAGTTGGGCTCCAGAGAAGACAGAGTCAATGGGCTGGGGTTTCAATGTCCTGAGCCTTGCCAGGGCTTAACCTTGGAAAAGCCACCCTTTTAAATCCTGAAGAGTGAACCAGGAATATGCCTAAGTCCCAGCTTCCCAGCTTCTAACCCTGATAGAAGGAAAAACTTCGCAATGGTTAGAGTGATCCAAAAATGGACAAAGGGATGCCTTTGGAGGCAGAGAATTACTGATTCAATCCAATAGACATTTAATGAAGGTTTTAATAAAAATTTAATAAATATGTACAACGCACTGTGCTCTATGTGGAGAATACAAAGATGAAAAATGACAAGGCCTCTGTTTACAGTCTAATAGGAGAAATTGCATGTATAGAAAAAAGTAACAGAGTCAAAAATGAAAGGGGGGGGTGAAGAAGAGATCTGGACAAAGTTCCCTGGTTGAATGTGAAGCCGAAGGAGAACCCTTTTACCTGGAAGGGATGAGGGAAGACTTATGAGGAAATGGCATCTGTGTAAGGAAGGCCTTGTAGGAATAGAAGGATTTCACCATGCAGAGATGAGGAGGGAGTGAATGCATTCCAGGTGGGTGGGATGGCTCATGCTAAGGCATGAAGGAAGGAGATGGCAGCACTAGATGAGGGAACAGGTCACAGTTGTTTGACAGGAGCATTGAGTGAAATAAAGCTGAAAAGGCAGGTTAAAGCCAGACTGTGTAGGGCTTTGAATGCCTGGCTTAAGAGTTCATATTTTATCCATATTGGAATAGGGAGGATGAATAGGATGAAGGCCAAGTTAAACAGTCTTGGGGTGGGTTTTTGTGATAATAATACTATGATTTGGGCCTGGGCCCAGCGGAAAGGGAATCAATCACTCTTCTTTCTTCTAAGGCTTCTCTTTTATCTGCTCCTTTTTCCCCCAACCCCTCCCAAGCAGCAGCCAGCGGCAGTGAAGCATTCCTTTATCCATTAAACATATATTAAGCACCTGCTGTGTGCAGATCACTGCATTCTTTACTAGGGGAGAGGCAAAGTTTATGGAAAACATGATAACCTGCCCTCACCGAACCTTCAATCTGGCAGGGAGACAAAATCCCCTCACATAAAACTATAAAACATGATAACGCATTAGAGCAGTGCAAAAAAAAAAAAAGAATTTTATGAGTTTAAGGGGAACATTGTTACTGAAAGGGGAACTCAGGGAGGCTTCTTGGAAGAAGTGGCATTTGAGTTTGGCTTTAAAGGCTTGGTAAGATTAAGAGGAAAAGACAGAGAGAGCATGGAGGGAGGAAGAATAGTCCAGGCAGCAGAGAAGTGGGGAACTCCTATTGTGCATATTTTGGGGTATGATCACTCTTAACAGGTGCTTTTCTTTAACTGTTTTTCTTTGTTAGAAGGGAGGGCTCAATTCTAAGGAGACAGATAGGAGGAGAGAAGTGGTACCAGAAATGATCGCGATATAAAAACAAAAGGTATCAATAAAATTGGTTATTGGTTTGTTTGTTTTTTAAATAAGGCCAGGCAAATGGTAAAGAAGGTCTGGAATCGGGTGGTAGTGAGAGGAATAGAGAGGATGGTGCAGTGAGTGAGCTTGTTACTAAGACCTTGAGGCTATAGAAGTGGAAGAAGCTCTCTACATCATCTTTGTCAGGGGTGCTTAAACTGGGCTCCATGACCTTGGATAGGAAAAATATTTTGATAGCTGTATTTCAATATGATTGCTTTCTTTTGTAATCCTATTTTTATTTTATGCATTTAAAAAACATTGAGAAGGGGTTCACAGGCTTCACCATGTTGCTAAAGGGAACCATGACATGCCGACCCTTTATTTTATAGATGAGAAACCCGAGACTCAGAGAATTGTGAAGGGACCTCCCTGAGGTCACACAAAGCAATTTGTGAACCAAGATTTGAACCCATGTACTCTCACTCCAAATCTAGGACTTCTTTTCAGTATACTATGATCCCTCTCATGGGGCACTGTTATCTGATCCCTCTGGGCACCTTTAGACGTCTCAAGGGAGCAGCTGCTGCTCCCCTGTGGCCTGATGAGGACCGTAGGAAACAGCAGAGCCAAATGAACATTCATTTATTCACCCGTCTGGAGAGTCAGCTTGGCAGGTCTGAGCTGGCAGAGCTCAGGTCAGAAGTGAGTTCCTGAGGTGGCTCAGAAAGTCTGAGCTTTAGATCTCCCACACAGGGCTGGCTTGTACCCGGGGGAGACGTGGGGCTGCTGTGCTTTGAGGGTTTGGCATCTGGGGAAAGCTTTGAGAAGGCCCAGGATGTGGGGGTTGTTGCCAAAGCATCTGGGGTCATGGTACACTCCAGCTTTACTTTTGATCTGCAAGCAAGGGATGGGATATGTAATAGGCAGCAACAGGGACCTGGGGGTGTTGAGCAGGTAATTAGGAAGGGTTGAAGGTCAGAGGCCTGGAATGTGGGAGGAGGCACTGGGTCTAAAAAGGGGTGTAATGTTAACTCTGTGAAATGTGTTAGCTTTAAAAAGTAAATAAGGGGTAGATGTCTTGGAGTTTGGGTCAAAGTTCATCTCCATGGCAGAGTTGGTGTGGTTTGACTCTTGGGCTGTTTTTCTCAGGAGTTTGAATCCCTCTTTGTCTCAAGGAGCTGTGACCCAGAGGCAGCTGGAAATGACCAGGCCAGGCAAGCCTTGAGAGGGTCTGGCGTGTGTTTCTCTGAGGAGCGGGGGCTAGAATTCAAGAGCCATCCTCCACCAAAGGGAAGAAAAGGCCTTTGTGCCTACCCCAGCCCCACTGACGTCGACTCCTCCGACCCCCTCGGGCCTCCAAAGCTTCCCAGGAGTCGGCCCTGCCACGAGGGGTTCCCACAGTCTGAAGCAGCCAGGTGCCCTTTGGGAGCAGGAAGTCCATGCTGTATAAAAGAAAACCACCTCTGGGGAGTTGTGCCTCATGACAAGAGCCCTGGATTGCCTACTTTCAAGTTCCAACTCCAGCACTTTAACTGTGTAACCTTGGGTAGGGCGTTTTGATTCTCTGAGTTTCAGTTTCCTCCTCTATAAAATGGGCACAAGTAACACTTGTACTACAGCATGCAGAGAGTCACTTAGCAAACCTGAAAGTGCTGTAGAGATGAGAGTTTATAGTTTATCACTGCTCCCACCCATCACTCGGCTTGGGATGACGCTCAGCAGCATCCTGAGGCTGTACCACCCAGGTTAGTCTGGAAGACACTGCTTGCTTCTGTGTGGTCCTTCTGGGTACTTTTAGACCTCTCAAAACAGAGAGGGCTCGAGTTTAAGAGATTTCTATTCCCTGGTCCAGGTGACCAGGGAGAGAGGAAAGGCTTGACCAAGGGACGGGGTTGGGGCAGGGGGGAGGGAACAAAACAACAGCAAAAAAATTAGAATCTTAAAACTGAATGAGTACCAATTCATCCATCCTTAGAAAGTTCCCTAGCAGGGCAACCAGGTGGCACAGTAGATAGAGCTCCAGTCTTGGAGTCAGGAGGACCCAAGTTCAAATTTGACCTCAGACACTTGACACTTACTAACCGGGTGACCCTGGGCAAGTCACTTAAGCCCAATTGCCTCGACTAAACAAACAAACAAACCCAAAACAAACAAACAAACAAACAACAAAAACAACAACAACAAAAAAAGTTCCCTAGAATATTAGCTTGCAGTTTTCTAGTGGTTGAAGGTTCAGAAGCAATAAAAGAATTATCACTCCCATTTTCCTGAGGAGGAAACTGAAGCACAAAGAAAGGAATTAACTTATAATGATTATTTATAATTTCTAGAGTACTTTAAGCACTTTACAAAGCTTTACAAAGCACTTTCCTCAGCATAACCTTGTAAAGGAGTTAATGCAAGGATTATTATCCCCATATCACAGGTGAAGAAACTGAGGCTCAGAGAGGTTAAATGACTTTCCCATGGTCACACAGCTAGTAAGTGGTACAGCCAGGATTTGAACCCAGGTCTTCTGGTGCCAAGTTAGTGCTCTTTCTACCACACCAACCACACTGCCTCCCATGTTGTTATTACATCATGTATGTCAAGGACCTGTGAATTCACTGGTCTGGGAACTCCTTACTCACTTTGCTGGCATAGATTGCAACCCATCCATGACTTATTAGCTTAGAGCTGCCTGGGGCTCAGGGATTAAGTCACTTGCTTGTGGTTATCCAGCTAGTAACAACAGAGGTGTGTTTGGAACCATATTTTCCTTGACTCCAAGTCTGGCATTCTGGTCACTATACTGTGTTGTCTCTTTAATTATTTACAAAAATAGCATAATTATGAATAACACCTTTTGGAGAGACAGTCACTATTTAATATTAATACTAAGAACTTTAGTGGCTTTAATTTCCCTCTGCTCAGTGAAACTGATCCTATTGGCCAAGGGAACCACTATCAGGTCTAGC